ATGTATGTTTCTAAATATAAATTTAATCTAACCAAACTTCGATATTAAAATAAATATATAATAACAAATTCGTTACACTAAACTATATCTTTAAATTACTATGTCACAAAATACTTAGGACAAATTTAAACAATGCTAAACTATACCTTTCTACTTACACCTCTAACTAGGCTAGATAGCTTGAACTTTGCAATGTAATTCCTTCTGTAAACAACTTAGGCCCGATCTTAGTAGCATAGAAAGTAAAAACTTGCTGTCTCAGAGTTGGAGCAGATAAACGCAGTCATTGTGCTTTATTTTTATCTAAGTTAAACATCTCTCTCTTGACAGAATTACGAAAACAAAATAAAGCGTAGCTAACCTCTGAATGTACAAAAGTTGTGACAAAAGCGACCTCTACGGCTCAAATAAAATTGCTGCACTCCTAAACCTTTGGAGCTCACATTTAACATACACTAAAGCACTTGACTTTGATAATGATAAGCCACAAAATCGGGTAAAGAAAACTTTTCCTACCTTTACGAGGGATTCGAGAGAGCAAGCGTGACGTAGATCAGCTGTTCTGTCTAGCCAGACACGCCATTACATGTACACACATTCATAAAATATCCATGATGCAGTCTTCATCTTTTGTTAATTATGCATAGTATCGACTTATACTAATGCTCTTTGGGCTTCCTGTATTGATCACCAACAAATCACCTATGCTGTTTAACTCAAATTTTAAACAGTCGTAAGTGATACGAGTTTATTTGTTTCTGGTTTTTTTTTTTCTAAATCTAGAGAAATATAATATAAAATTGTATTCATTAACTTAAACGTTGTAGTGAATATTAACTATATATACATTTATATTTGCAGAAAATTTTTTCCCTCGTTCAGATTTACAACGCTAAAATCCGGGGTTCGATTCGCCATGGTGGATACAGCAGATAGCCCCATGTAGCTTTGTTCTAAGGACTAACAAACAAGAAATTTTGTACGATGTTCAGCATAATAAAACAGATGGTTTTATATGCTCGCTACAGTACATGTATATTTAAAGTTTATATTTTGAGCAGTGAAGTTTTCATGAAAATTAACATATTATTCAGAATTGTACATCAAATACAAATACTAACAAACCTTGAAAAAAGGAGAGAAAAAAATAATTCAGATCATGCAACGAAAAGTGCTTGGCATTTGTCAAGAAATATTTAATAGCAGTTTATGTCAAGAAAAAATTCATAAAAGAACCACTTATCTATTTCTCTCTTTATCATTAATTATGAACAAACCTTTTACATCGTGAAGAGAGACCACTTCCACTCTGCTGAGCTAGATCCGAACAAATCATAGAGACGGTCCCTGAAACCACCCACAGTCATTATAATGCTCTACATTTGCCCTGCCCCAGAATAAGGAGTCACCATTGCCCTAGATTTGCCCTGCTCCAGATGAAGGAGTTCAGCAAGTGCTCGTGTGAAATGTGCACAGAACAGGAATGGAACCGGTTTCGTCGAGAAAAAGATATTTTCGTGGTAATCTTGTTCTTCTCCCTACCACGTGCTAGCGTTTGTGCCTAATCCTGATTTTAAGTATTCGACAACATTTCGTAGCGAGAGAAAAAAATATATATATAAAGGATCAGAGTAATAAAGGTTTCCGGACTTTGTGAGAGACAGGTTCAAGTACAGTGCTTTTTACGAGCAGATTTTTCACGTCAAGTACGCGTTTTTTCGAGTAGAGATACATATCAAGAAACAGTTGCACAATGCCAAGGACATAAAGTCACGGAGGCCGTTGCCCTCGTCCTTGGACCAAAGTCACCAGTGCTGATATCGACGTCAACAGTACTCGTTGTACGCGAAAATCTGCTTCTAATAGCGCTGAAATACTTGCCATAAAATTCAAGTTATGAAACCAGCGTCGTCTGGCGGCCTTACTTCTGAGGCACGCGGTAATCGGGGCACCAGGAAACATGCTCACGTGCATCATTTCATTCAATTAACCAATCCAAGTAGACTGCACGAAGGGGTCCTCCCGCTTACGTGAAACTTTCAGTAAAGGCTTTACGATATTGTCCATAGAGTTTTGTAATTTACGCTTGTTAATGTGACGTCATCTTTGATTGTTTTGCATATATATATTCAGTAAACGTTTCATTGAAAAAAGCATAACATTTCATACTACATTTAATTGCTCTATCACAAATTAGAAGATCAACTGTAAAAAGAATTTTCACAAACAAGTACAAAAATTAAAGATAATAGTGCACGATTTACACAAACAAGTCTGTGGTTTAGGTTAATTGTTCAGTAGTAATTTGTTTGGAAAATATGACGCCTACTCACAGCTGACTCTTGATATCGTGATTTTTTTTTTTGATTTATTCACAATAATTTTCAGAGGAGACTGCTGACGTAACTCTTTTAAATCGTGCACTATTATCTTTAATTTTTGTACTTGGTGACTGCTGACGTAACTCTTTTAAATCGTGCACTATTATCTTTAATTTTTGTACTTGGTGTTTGTGTAAATCGTGCACTATTATCTTTAATTTTTGTAACACAACTTGGACAGTATGAAATTCTGCCGGTACTCGCCTGAACTCAGTGTTGATTTCTTTTTTTTTTATCTCATGTGGAGCAACGGTTTTGTTTTGGAAGACAGTTAACGGGTTTTGTTGTTATTATTATTATTTTGTATTTACTGACAGTTTAATTCAAATATTGCATGAAAACATGTCGTTAACTTGAAGATAATCATAACAGTTCAATTTAAATAGTTCGTGAAACATATCATTAACATGTAGATAATCATAACAGTTCAATTTAAATAGTTCGTGAAACATGTCGTTAACATGTAGATAATCATAACAGTTCAATTTAAATAGTTCGTGAAACATGTCGTTAACATGTAGATAATCATAACAGTTCAATTTAAATAGTTCGTGAAACATGTCGTTAACTTATAGATAATCTTGACAGTTCAATTTAAATATTGCATCAAAATATATCGTTAAATTGTAGATAATTTTGACAGTTCAATTTAAATATTGTACCAAAACATAGTGTTAACGTGTGGATAATCTTGACAGTTTAATTCGAACAGTACATATTTGAATAGTGCAGAAAAAGGTATCGTTAACTTTTATACTACAGATATCTTGATACTCTACACATTTTGAAGCCAAGTCCTGGCAAAGATAAAATCTTGTTGTTCTTTAAGCAAAATTTCAATACTGAAGTTGAACAAACCAAAGATTGTTACGATCACAATATAAGACTCATCTACCCATACAATGGTTGATCAGTATAGCGACACATCTGATCAAAACCTTCACCATATCAGAACCTTTATATCGTTTCGTTTTTAGATTAAATTATTAAACGAAACTTATATACTGAAGCTAGAATAGTTTACTTGGTACAATAGCGAAAGCAACTTAGCAAATATATTTTGGATATATATATATATATTATCTGGCAAATCTGTATTGCTATACTTTTACAGCGTTGATAAATTCCTTTCATTAACTTTCTGGGTTAACTCATCAGAGATAAATTGACATTAAACATGTTTTAAGAATATGGCTTTCGTTTTGGAATTAGGGATAAACTAATTTATAAAACAGATTTATCTTCCACTGCTCCTTTTTATGCTACTGTAATCAATTAATTCCAAGTTGATAATTCTCCTGTCAGAATTCACACTTTTAAGTATCTGGCATAAGAACAAGGACAAGAAAATAACAAAATACAAATATTATTTTTCTGCTAGTTAAAATTGGTTATAATGTACAGTAAATCTATACTAACAAGAAGGCGAGTCTGTTAGCCTGTGTGTATGTGATCGCCATAGCTCCAAGAGGAAAGAACCTAGAAACCTGAAATTTTGCCCACATATTAAGTGGACCCTGAGGGTGTGCACCTGGGTATTATTACTTATCCACATGCGTGCGCATCTGTTATTGTGAGGTAAGCAAGTGAAAAACCATATAGGAAAGAATAGTTTACCGCCATAGCTCCAAGAGGAAAAGCCCGGCATGACTAGGTGGTTAGAGCCCTCGACTCGCAATCTGAGGGTCGCGGGTTCGAATCCCTGTCCCCCAAACATGCTCGCCCTTTCAGCCATGGGGGCGTTATAATGTGATGATCAATCCCACTATTCGTTGGTAAAAAAGTAGCCCAAAAATTGGTGGTGATGACTAGCTGCCTTCTCTCTAGTCTTACAATGCTAAATTAGGGACGGCTAGCGCAGATAGCCCTCGTGTAGCTTTGCGCGAAATTCAAAACAAACCAAACCCTATATATATATATATCAATTTAAAGTTTTAATTTGCTCTAGAGCAAGGAGGATTCCCAATATACATGACAGTTTACAGTCTTAACTTGCTTTTGGGGATATTTCAGTTTAAAGTCTAGACTTGCTCCTGGTTAAGAAAGATTCCCAATATACAGATCAGTTTTAACTTGCTCTTGGATAAAGGGGATTTCCTATATAGATATCAGCCTTAACTTGCTCCTGGTTAAGGAATATTCCCAATATACAGATCAGTTTTAACTTGCTCTTGGATAAAGGAGATTTCCTATATAGATATCAGTCTTAACTTGCTATTGGGTAAGGATGATTCCTTATATATATATATATATATATCAATTTAAAGTCTTGACCTGCTCTTGGGTAAGGTGGACTCCGTTAATAGTTTATCTTGTATATTATACGTTTTGGTAATGTATTCCGTAATTGATTTCAAAGTATTTAACAATATCAGGGTTCTATTTTATGCTGCTGTTTATTATGTTGAGTTTGATGCTTTAATTTGTGGCATTTTGACCAGAAATACATGTACGGTGGTATTCTTTGAAATTGACTGAGTTGGAGAAAGGGGCTGGACACAAAGGTTCAGAATAGAAAATAAAAATTTATGTAGACGCAAAACAATAAAATCCCTGTCTATTAGAAGTGGTCGAGGGACGGTTACATTAAAGTTTCTGTACCAAACAAGAATTTGGACAAGAATCAACACTTATATACTTATTCGGATATAGCAAAATCTTCCCAAGTGAACTGTTTGTCACACACGTCACTTGGTAACTCCCATTAATAGAAATAGGGAAGACAACAAAGTCTTAATATATTTCTAAACTTGCACATGACTGATGCAACTGGAGTGTGTGTGTGTGTGTGTGATTTATTTTAGCTCAAAGTCATAGAATAGGCTATCTGAGCGGAGAATCGAACCCTGGATTTTAGCGCTGAAAACCCGTAACCTTACTGCTTACCCGCAGGGTGACAGTTGGACAGAACCCAATAATAGCAAACTAAGGGAATTCACTCCAACTGTCCTATCTATGAGAAGGCTCAGTAAGCTCAGAAGAATAACCGTTTACAATCTGTTTTGTTTTTTTAAGTTAAGTAAAAAGCTACACAATGGGCTATCTGTGCTCTGCCCACCCCGGGTATCGATACCCGATTTCTAGCGTTGTAAGTCCGCAGACATACCGCTGTGCCACTGGAGGGCTTAACAATCTGTAACTACAGTAACATCAGCCCAGTAAAAAGCAGGTTCTCCGCATGATATACACCTTAAACACGTGCACGAACCAATGTAAATAAGACAAGAATTGTTAAACAAAAGTAGTCACCTTGGTAAAGTACAAGATAAGAAACACGTGATGTGTTTCACCCAATAAATAAAAGGTTCTATCAATTTGTTACGCAGATTCTATTCAAAACTAACTCGATCAAGAACGAAGCGTATGAACACAATATTCACGAGGAATTAAAAAAAAAAGTTATAAAAATGAATACAAGGAAAATGGAACTCAATAAAAGCAAGGCGTCAATCTTCATTGGATAAGAAATAATATATAACGTACCTTCTTTACAGTTCAACATTACTGAATAAAAACTGGAACAATTAAGAGCTGTTTCTTACAATGCAAAGGATTGATAGTAGAGTTAGTAAAAATAAAGAAAGTATTTTTCTAGTTAAATTAAAGGATGACCGTACTCCAGAAATTAAAAACGTTTGTCATTTTACAACCAAACTTATATATAAAAATAAAACCCGTATTCTTCTAGTACATCTTTTCAGCACATTCTACTTGAGTCTTTCCGTGGAACAGCAGTAAGTCTACGGATTTACAACGCTAAAATCAGGGATTCGATTCCCCTTGGTGGTTTGTTTGTTTGTTTGAATTTCGCGCAAAACTACACGAGTGCTATCTGCGCTAGCCGTCCCTAATTTAGCAGTGTAAGACAAGAGGGAAGGCAGCTAGTCATCACCACTCACCGCCAACTCTTAGGCTACTCTTTTACCAACAAATAGTGGGATTGACCGTCACATTATAACGCCCCCACGGCTGAAAGGGCGAGCATGTTTGATGTGACAGGGATTCGAACCCGCGACCCTCAGATTGCGAGTCGAGTGCCTTTAACCACCTGGCCATGCCGAGCCCCCCTTGGTGAAAACAGCAAATAGCCCGATATGGCTTTACTATAGGCTAAAAACACACACGCTTACCTGTTTTTAAATAATATTTTATCATTACTATCACAGTATCGCGAAAGAAAAAGAAACATTTTTGCTGTGAAAAATGGCAAAAGTTTAACAATATCATTATCAATCAACTTTAATGAAACCAAAAGGTTATACTGTGCTTGATATTCGCTTTCTCATAAAATGAACACTTTAATTGATAGGTATTATTAAAAAACCTTAATAAAATAGAAAATTATATGATTAATATTCTAATTCCGTTTTGTAAAAAGTGAGAAGTTTATTTTATAAGGTGAACTTTTATAATGGTCTGAATCAATTGTCATGAGGTAACAGATTGTGTGATGGCTGGTCTCAATCAATCGTGATGAGGTAAACAGATTATGTGATAGATGGCTCAATCAATCGTCATGAGGCAAAAGATTATGTGATGGATGGTCTCAATCAATCGTCATGAGGTAAACAGATTATGTGATGGATGGTCTCAATCAATCGTGATGAGGTAACAGATTATGGCATGGATGGTCTAAATCTGTCT